CATATATACTACATATATACACATACATACATACGTACATACACACATACATATATATTTCTAATAATTACTAATAATCATTAACGTTTCTGTTCATGTACAATCTAAACAGCCATCCCTTGCAAGATGATTCATCATATACCTAATACGATGCTACAAGCATAACTATAATTCTAGTGATGGTTAATTCGTAATTCCTAATATAAAACTTCGGCAACTCACTAACAATAGCAACTATATCAATCTCAGTTTTACGATCTTATTTAATCATTAATTATTGATGTTCTACGATAAATTATGATCCGTTTTACAACAAAGTTTAATGCAATGATTTAACTTACTGGTTGAACTGCTCAGAAAAACTGTTAAATTTCTTAAATAAATTACACTACAGAATTCTCGTACGCTTCTCTCTATCTACTAAAAAAAAAATTGCTGTGTCTTATCGGAGGGCGAAAAGAAACCACAAAAATGTGAGGCAGCTAACAAGAGAGGGTGCTCATTTTGTTCCCTTACGAAACAAAGACATTGTTTATTTATATTACTTATTATATTTTTTTTATTTGTAGGTGCAGTATAGATTTTGCTACGATGCAGCACGGTGTTACCTTGACGGATTCCAAGCTTATGTCAACTTTTAGTTATATCAAAATCCATATGTTACTCAGAAGACACCTTTGATATTCATCAATTTATTTTTTGTTAATTTAGTTGTTTAATTGGATAAGTATTATCAGTTATTTAAAAAATATTACTCATAATATCCTTATTTTCAACAATTTCAACAATTATTACAGAATGCCAACAAATGCAATCTCTATTGTCATGGAAAATGTCTCGTTTAACATTTACAAATGAACTTATAATATTACACAAATCTGTTCAAACAATTCTGAAAAATAAGTGACACACGCCATCTATTCAAGCAATAACAAATCAAAGTAATGTAAGGTATAGAAAGCTATCATGATTTAGGGCTCGGTTGGCAACATTTGACTTCTAAAGACCCATTTTGACCTAGCTTCCTACGACCCAAGACTTCGAGTTATCATATTATTCATTATTATCATATATTTTTATATTTCTTATGGTGTGACTTCATAACGAGCTCTGTCCGAGGGGGTGGGGTTTAGCCTGTTCAGTGGGGGACTTAAGCCCCCATCCCCCGCTAGCGCCTCCATTGATGTGAATTGAACCGGGGACCTAGAGATATCCACTGTTAGCGCACACACAGTGGCTACTGCCATCTAGCTGACTGAGCTAAGCTTTTCTCTTTGATTAAACTCCCATCATGAAATAATATTGGAAACATAATACAAGTTTTAAATACATGTTTTCATGAGAATATACTGATTTTAAAAAGTGTTTATGATGGTGAAAGACCTAAGTCTTTCTGTATAGTTTTTTTGAGACCCAGATGCAATCTAAAACCCTCAAAAATTCAAAACGTGGGTCGAATGATTGTCCTATAGTAGTGGAGCAAGTTACCTCGGCTAATAAATATAAGCCGTAGGCTACACGTACAATAGGCTTGTTCAATTTATAGCTCCTGAAATATCTCTAAAGAAAGTCCAATTTTAAATACTAATGTTTGAATGTTACAATAACAGTAAAAATGTGATGAATTATGATGCTTAATTACAACTCACCGATTAGACCGAACTATCATTGTCACCATAAGTTGTTGGCGATAGAGTGTAGTGCCATGATTTTATGGAAACTATTGTATATTTTATATATGGTTCAATGTATTGGACAATTTTCATTGACGTTTTTAATTATGACTAGATAGACCTAATCACAAAATTACAAAATATTGTTCAAATGAAAAAAATGGAATCTGCACATGTTAATAGTTTTAATGTTGGGGTTTTGGAATATTAAATATTTATTTAATATATAATTTTAAGTATAAATCGTTAATTTAAGAAAGTCATTATAATGTTGATAACGCAATACCTCGCCTGATCTAATGGAGAGTGTTTGGTCTGATAGACGCATGATTTGGGTTTCGAAATTTCTCCATTATGCTTAATGTCTAGTTATCTTATAGATTATCTAGATAGATTAATATATTATTAACAATGTGAAAAGAAAATTCATGACAAAATACTATCAATAATTCAAAATGGGAATCATCCGATTCATTATGATTTTTAGTTTATTACGATCTAGTAGACGTCGTGGGTCTACACAAAACGTTATTATTTTCTATATTCTATCACATTTTTAATTGAACTTTAGCATCCCAGTTTTATATGTTTTATATTTTATTGAAGTTCTTGCGTAATAACTAACCTTTGAGCAATTTTATGTCAAATAAGACAACAAAAAGGACAACAAAAATAACTATGAACTATTTGCAGTGGACATTTTAGCAGGTAGAACGCCTATTTGTTAAAACACAGTTCTGGGATATTTAGTGCAGGCACACTTCAAGTACAACCTTAAGGATGAACAAACTATAGCTGTAATTTAACTCATTATAATTAATACATTTTGTATTGTATTAACAATTTCGCTTTATATTCATTATCCTTGTAATAATTATAGGATTACTAATCAAATAGCTGTCGAGTTTCCAGGGTGATTTACTTTCATAAATATTTTGTAACCTATAGGAGAGAGAACGTTTATTGATGTTGATGATAAATATTTTCAATTAAATTGTATACATTGAAACTGTGGTTTATTGATTTTTTATGTCGAGATAAATTTTAGACTGTATTGCGCTAATGTTACATACTAGTGTATTGTATGATAAGGAAAAGTTATTTGCTAAGAGGGTGTCAGAACTCCGACAGGATCCAAATTATTTTCGCCCGCAAATGGCACTTTCAGACTGTAAAAATGTTTTTATTAAATTCTAGTAAATTTTACACCCCCTCCCCCACCCCAGAGACCATATTTACTAGAAAGTTTGCTCGGGTCCAAATCCTCAGAGGTTGTGGTAATTCTTGAATGAAAAAGTAGGTCCCTAGTAGGAATTATTGATGTTCCCAGTGCTAAGCAGCAACTTGATTTGAAATATATAAATATATACTGTATATTCGATAAAGGTATCAGAGTCCAAACATCCGACAATAAAACAATGAAAGTGCCAAAATCATTGTTCAAATGTTTAAGCAGAAAAAGTTCAAGGGAAATAACCGGTCTATAAAGATTTAAAAATGATGTATATATGTGCGTGTGTGTGTATGTGTGTATATGTATACGGAAGTAAAATGAACAAACTTGATTATGTTTGCTTTTTGAGTTGGCCTTTTGCTAACAACGCCTCATATTTGTATTGTGCATAATATATACAAAGTAGGCCTACACAAGGAAGGAATGACAAAAATAACCTGTTGAAGTGTAGCTGTGGGTCTGAACTTAAATTCTGCTCTCAGATAGTGAAAAACGATATTTCTACGGTTACAGATTTGTACACATTCTACGAAGTAACATCGTTACAGCTGTAGGCCTAACAATGTACGGTACAGCATTTTGGTGGATGATTATTCAAATGGTCATAACAGTCTGCTTGTACCGACCTACGGATTCATCAGGTAAGTGTACTGTTATAATGTTGAATTTTCTTAAAAGTTGTAGGTAGGTCTATGTAATTCTATTTAGACTTGTGCTTGGAGATAAGGAATGGAGGTGAAGGGTATTGCAAAATTGTGCGTCAGTATGTGTGTCTGTGTATCCTCCAGGGCGCTTAACTATATATTATATTATATATATATATATCGTTCATTCGAGTAGTTTGGCTAGACCGAGCCAACTCGAACGAATTAAACGTGCAAATATGCCGATTGATGGGATTACCTTTTAGGTTCATGAACCGGATCGACTGACTAAGGGTCATTATTTCTTCAGTACATAAATATAGCACAATAGGACGAGGGTTTGTATTCTCAGATTATCTTGTTAAAATTTGTATTTCGTGTGATTCATATGCAGTTAAAACCATTAAAGTCCCCATATTTTTGTAATGACCGTCTTCTTATTTTTGTGTTTAGTTGGTATGTGATTATATTTATTAGTTTGTCATAACCTGTGATATTTTGTGTATTTAGTAATAGATGTCAGATTCCTGTTAAGACACAAACCAGTAGGCTAGTCTGTTTATTCCTAATACACTGTACATTCCGAGTTCTGAGATTGTGATATAATGCTTATAGGCACAAATACTGTTTTAATATTTACACAAAAGAAACACTATTTTCAAAAATAAATCAGTGTACAAAACATCTTACTACGATATTCCAATTTTGCATTTACGCACTGTATTATCTGGATTATAAGGTCTTCATACGGTATATTTTTATATCTGACTTTTTTCGTATGCATATGAACTCATGTGTTCTAAAGTAAAGTATTACATACAGTATTACGTTTAGTAAACATTTAATATCCAGAAATATCTTCAGATAGTATATAATTTGTTGCTTAAGTTGCTTAATTTAATGTTTAATGTCTAGATTTCTCGTTTTTATATTGTGTCTGGTCTATTGAACTCAATATTCGGATTAAAGTAGGAGTATTGATTGACAAAGTTACGTGTTAAGGTTTATAATCCCTAATAATTATTAAAAGGTAATCGTAGACGATACCTAATGCATTACCTTAACTGCGTATAATCGTTATGAACGTATAAATAAGGTTTTTGTCATTCACATAATGATTTCATTCATTTGTTTTAATTATTATTTTGATGACATTTTACTTGCATGGTTTTCTATCAAATTATCCGTTTTAAATAAAGAATCCTATAATTAACACAGCATTTTGTTATTTTATAATAACAAATTTCCCCGACAAATATAATTTTTCCCCGAGTGGGGGGGGNNGCTGGCTAGGCTTCCCCGACAGGGAGGGGGTGGACTCCCTGTGGGGAAGCTTGGACCCCTCGCGGGGAATTCATGGCGCCACCCCTGCATTACTGGATGACATTCTTCTATTTTCTGTTTTGTTTATTTCTCTACATTTTGTATTTAGTCTTTACATAAGGCCCATGTAGTATAGGCCTGTAAATTAAGGAAAATTATAGTACATTTTAGCTAAAGGTCTCAAATTACTATTATTAATACTTTGAGCATGAGTAACATTATAAATTAATACTAATATAGTATTCTTTCATTAATATTGATATTATCATACAATCAAGATTTAATTATTATTAAGAATATTGTTAATATGTAAAAAAATATTTTATACTAATCCAATGTTCACGAAAGCTAGCAGCTTATTACTGCTGCTTGGGACCCTAGCTAGGCTTAGCACAGGCGGATTTAGGGTGCTTAGCCGCCCCTCCTCTTTAAGTTAAAAAAAAAAATGGGGGAAAAAGAAAGAAGGAAAACTAAATTTTATTGCCCAGAGCGCCCGGAACCCCCAAGGTAGTGTTGTCTCTAGGTCGGACCCACTTTCGGACATCTCTGGATCTACCCCTGCCTAGGGTAGAGTCTAGTTTAGGACAGTAGGGCCTAACTAAGCCTTACCCTTTTGGTTAGGGCTAGGGCCTATAGCCTCTTTCCTAGACCGTTCTTACCTGGTGTATAAGAAAATGAAGACAGAAGACGGTAAGACCCCCCCCCCTTTTCAGTAGGGGTAACATCCTATCAATTGTCCCATTCCGTAACCATCTCAGTAACACTCCATCGATTTTATAGGTGCAACTGTTACCAGAGGCTAAATTTATTGTGAAAACAATGTACGCGTTGTTAGAATTGGAAGCGTGTAAACCTATAGGCAAACATTTTTAACTCAAAAGTGCTCTACTATTAACAGTTACTTATTTTGTATTTTTAACACCCTATACCAGTAGGTAAGTATTTGCACTCGCAATAGCGTAGGCCTAGTCGCAACGGGCCTACATGAAATTCAAAAAGAGGAGAAAAGGAAAAATGTACGCGTTGTTAGAATTGGAAGCGTGTAAACCTATAGGCAAACATTTTTAACTCAAAAGTGCTCTACTATTAACAGTTACTTATTTTGTATTTTTAACACCCTATACCAGTAGGTAAGTATTTGCACTCGCAATAGCGTAGGCCTAGTCGCAACGGGCCTACATGAAATTCAAAAAGAGGAGAAAAGGAAAAACTTCTTCATTGATTTTTAAAAGTGCTGTACATGCCAGAGGCGGATCCACAGGGGTCCCCCATCAGTTCCTCCGAAAAAATTTAAAAAAAAAGTTGAGAAGATTTTAAAAAATTGAGAAGAGTAAAAAAGGCCAAAAGACCTAAGACGGAGTTGGACTATTTTGCAAATCGTCGCACCACCACCCCCCCCCCCGTCGCCCCCCCCCCCCCCCCCCCCCGTCCCATATTTAACCACGGGTCGACACCCTTGGTGCTGTTATATAGGCTACCGAAATCCTTTTTAAAGCTCGTACGTTCCGCTATTTGAGTAGGATTTGATTTTGAAATTTTGTTTTGAATCATTGACAGTATTACTGTATTCTGTAGGCCTAATAGTGGAGATCGCTATCTATACAGTCGCAGGTTTGTTGACCAGGCCTATATTAATAACGTTACAGCTGTAGGCCTAAAGATGTACGGTACAAAATTATCCGAATGATTATTTATACAGTCTGCAAGTCAAGCCTCAATAATTCAGGAAAAGAATGGTAGGCATAAAATTGGTCACTAATCAGGAACCCCATGCCTCACAATAGTAGGTCTACAGTCTCAAAAAACAAAGACCAAATGATACAGAGTGACATTAGGCAAACAAGTATTAACAAGGGAATTAAAAACCAATTCTCTTGTTGAAACGTGGTAGGCCTACTATATAGTGAAATGTACCGACGAAAAGAAACGTATGTTACGTGCAGGGATACGTTGGTCAAGAAAGCCTCATAAAGTAGTCATTGCAATGCCAGTTTGTTAACGTAAAGTTAAATTTAAGTGGTTTTTTTTTCACATTAAGTGAAAGTTTATTGAATCGACAGTAAGTTAGCTTAGATAATTCTGCAATAAGTGTTTTTCTGAAGAGTATAAACACATGTGGGAATAAAACAAATTAGCATCGTCAGCAAATAATGTCATATATAACGTGTTAGAGAAGTTTACAATGTCATATACAATATGAAAAGAAGAGGGCGTAAGATAAACCTTTGAGGGACACTGCAAATAATGTCATGTGTTTGAGATATTAAACCATTAATTACGGTATACTGCTCTATTCCATTAATATAGCTTTTGAAACAGTTTAATGGTGCTCCCCGGACACCATAATGATCCAATTCATTTAAAAGGATAATATGATCCACAGTGTCGAACACCTTGGTAAGATAAATGAAGATACCAATGGGTGTTTCATAAATTTCAATGGCAATATGAATTTTCTTTATGAGATCGAGTACAGCCATATAAGTTCAAATTTTCTTAAGAAAACCATATTTGCAGTCATTGATGATGTTATTTCTTTTCAACAAACGCGTAATGTCTGTTATAAACTATTCGTTCAAAAATCTTAGAAATAGGAGGCAATTATAGGCCTATATATATACTGTCTCTTATACACATCTAGATGTGTATAAGAGACAGTATATATATATATCCTATAATAGTTTAAATCATTTTTGTCTCCTGATTTGTATATTGGATAAAGTCTTGTAATTTTAGTTAAGTTGTGAATTACACCAGTGGAGAGAGACAGATTAAACATATGACAGATAAAAGAAGCAATAGGTGCAC